AGTGGTCCAGGAGCAGCCTGGCCCTCAGAAAGCTACCCTCCCTGAGAGTCTCTATAGATCTCTGTCCTCAGAAGGCAGGTCTCTTACCAGGACTGGGGCACATGTGCACAGGTTGGGTGAAGCAGAATGCCATGAGCCCTTGGGACCCCACCCTGAGTGCCCCCTTAATGCCCTCCTGAGTTCAGCCACTACCATTTTGATGTGGCAATGTCTTCTCACACTGACCTTATGCCCAGCTCCGCCTGGGAGAGCTGAATTCCAGGGCCAGCCTGGCTTCTGACTAGCTGGGAGAATTTGGACTGGCCCTCTTCTATCTCGGCCACCTTTTCTCCTTTTGAAAGACATTGACAGCAAGGTAGCTGCCAGAAACTTTCTACTTTCACGGCTCTCTCCCCTGCGATGCATGCACATAGCCCCGCCTGTGCACACCCCTTCTCCACAGGTCACCTACACCTCTTCTCTTCACTCGCTCCCTGAAGGTTCTGTTCCCTGACTGATGATGCTAATCTAATTCCCCACCTCTGTGATCATGCATACCCCTCCTGTCCGACCTAAACTGTTCCTCCCCAACCAGTCTGTGCATTTCAGCTTCTCTGGTTCCTGACTTGAAACCTCTCTTATAGGAAATCCTGGATCGCTCCCCAGCTGTACCGCCCCCAACACATGGCTCTACTCTCCAGCCACACTTCATTGCAGAATTGGATCATCTCAGAGCAGTTATATGGTGTGTCCCCCAAAATAAACACTCTTCAAAGAGAGGCACTGGGTTTTCAAGTCATGTGTCTCCCCCCACCCCCTCATTGTACCTGGGCTGCGGTGGGCACAGAGGGGTATCAGGAGCACCCTACAAGTGGGGTCTTGGCTCACCAGCTTTCTGCCAGGACCCACAGCTGCTCTTTGTGAGCCAACGTTTCTGAGAGGAGCAGGGAGACCCTGAAGAATTGGGATAGGAGCTTATCTCTCCAAGCATTAATCACCCCATAAAACTTGTGTTTATTTGCTTGCTCACAGGTCCTTCTTTCTGGAGGTAGGAAGCTGTTATTCTTGGAAATACCAGCCCAGGCTTGGCCGGGACACCCTGAGGAAAGAGGCAATCTCCTGAACTCCAGCATGTCGGGGGTGCCTCGAAGGCTTGAAGCAGGCCTGCAGGGGTCATGGTGGGGGCACCAGCGGGCCTCGTTATGTTAGGGCAGAGGGGGTTGGGATGGGGCACCCCCTTGGTGGTATCACTTCAGGAAGAGACGCCACCCCCTACCTCCACTCTGTCCGGAGAGACAGCCAACGTGTCCGTGGCCTGACTTGCATATCTGCTAGGTGCCAAGTACCCCAGGATATCTGTGATCCGAAGAGCAGATATGGGCCAGGTGGGGTTTGGAGGGTTTTGGCCACAGGTCCCAGAGAGAGGCAGAAAGGGAGGGGGCAGACCTAGCAGGAAGTCCCTGCAGATGAGACACTGGTCTGGGAGGCAACCACCTCGAGAAAGACAAGCCCGTCCTCAGAGCTACCAAGGCAGAGAGTGACTTCTTCAGGGGAAGGAGAAACTCAAAGCCAAGATGGCTTAGAAGGGAGAGCAAGGAAAGCCACAGGCAGTGAAGGGATCAGGGCGGCGGCGGGGGGGGCGGGGTTGCTGGGGTGGGAAGACGGGAGGAAAGGGAAGGAGGCTGACCCTGGGACTATATGAGGCAATGGGCAATCCCAGAGGGGACGCCACAGAATGATGGTGTAGAGCAGTGTGCCTACCTCTGAAGACATCTTGGGTGGATTTCTTTTGTTTTTACACAAAAAAGAAATCGCTTTAGGAAGAACAAAACAAAGAGATATTTTCATCTGCTAATTGAATTCAGGGGCTATAATCAGTGTTTGAAAACACCCAGGGATTATGGTGATTTATAGCTAGGACAGGAATCTGCTGGGCCCTCGGCTTTGTCCAATGTACAGAGAGGAGCCTGCTGGGAAATCCGGAAGCAAGTGAAAATACTGCGGGAAAACCCATTTATGGTCCAAGAGGGGTACCAGGGCCAGGCCAGGTGAGGCCATCTGGGCTGTGACCGAGGGTGGGGCCTTCCCTAGGCCCCTGAGGTTTGGAAACCCCATCTCACCTCGCATGTCCCCATCACCACCTCCTCCCCGGACCCTCCTAGAATTTGTAGGCCCAGCCTAAGCCCTCTTTTCCAAGAAGTACTCCTGGACTCCATCCTCCCTCACTGACCTCAGCCTCCTCTCAATTTCCTGCCTCCCTCCATACTTAAACCTGCTGGAGGTTTATTGGGGAAGGTACTGCTTTGGGCATCAGAACACCCTGTTCAAATCCCAGCTCTGCCACAGCCCTACGCGGGCAAGCCAAGCCTTCCGTGGGTCTCAATTTTCTCCCTGACAAATGGGGATGAAAGAAAAACATTCTGTCCGAGGCCAGCTGCTGAGCAATTAAATGAGATAGCTGGATGGGAACCATCTCGGCAGATGGAAAGGATCCTCTGACTACAGCATTAAACAATTTACGGTCTTCTCTTGGAGACTGTGATTGTGTCTGGAGGGTTTGCTTTGTCTAATTTCTCAGTGAGGCTAGCGCTGTCTATGAGAGCAAAGCTGGGTCTATCCTTCATCTAACAAGTTAACCTTCCCACCACTCTCCCTTCCCAACCCCCCAAATAATGCTTGGTGTCCTCCCCACGCCAGACACAAGATTCCACTCTGGAGAGAAATCCAGGGGGGTAAGAACAGATTCACCCTCAAAGTCCTCCCTGTCTTGTGCAAGACATATGGATGGGCCAAGGCTCAGCCAATGCCTCAGGGCGGAGAGAAGCACAGACACCATGTGGTGGAACCCAAGAAACGGAGAAGAGAACTCAGCTCCAGAAGGCTTCGCCTCCAGCAGGAGGTGGCTTGCAAGCTGGGCCTTAATGCCAGAATGCGATTTCGGGGGGACTGTAGGAAAAGGCATTCGTTGCTAGGAGAGGGGAAAGCAAGAATGCTGCCCCCACTGCCTTTACCCAGCCCCCTCCCAATAAGACTATAACCTTTTTCAAGAGTGGAGACACTTCTGTCTCCCACCATTGGCCCAGCCCTGGGTCAAGCCCTAGTAGTCCCACACTCTTTCAGACGAGAAGACTGAGGCCCAGACAGAAGTGTCCAGGCTGGAGTGCAACCTCAGGCTTTGGGACTCCAGGGCCTTGAAGTGTGAGGCCCTAAGGATATCAGAGCAGCAGGCAGGTATTCACTTGAACCTGGGCTTAAGCTTTACCCTCTCCAGGATGGGTGTGGATGACTGACAGTCATTAGTCACGTAACTGCTTCACGTAACTCTGCTCTTTAAGCAGAGTTCTTCTAAAAGAACCCTGGGAACAGTTGTTTATTATTACCTACCCTTATTTTACAGATGAGGAAACTGAAGTCCCACAGCTAGTACAGGATGAGGCCAGGAATCCCACCTGGGTCACTCTGACTCTGTAGCCCAGGGGCATAACCACTGCCCTTCCTTTGCTGGGAGGTCGAGGCCCTTCCCTGCAAGTGCACCCATTTCACAAAGGGAATTATCCTTGGGTGGCCTCGGCTCCCTTCTCCACTCACGAAGACTTAGAGGAGCCTGCTTTTGGGCTCTTAACTTGTCCATGTGAATGTAGAAACACTTTACTGAGTTGAAAAAACAGAAAGTTCCCAAACTATTAATTAATACAAACAGCCTCCTGATGTTTGGAACTCCACAGAAAGGCTTCTGACAATTACTTGTTTTTACGTTCACTGTCTTTTTTACTGAAATAAAGGTGTTTTGAAAAGAGCTTCACTGTTTCTAGGCTCTGAAGCCAGAAAGGAAAAAAAGTGAAAAAAAAAAAAAGTGTTTCCAACCACCTCCGTGGCATTTTTCTCTGCAGGGAGACGGGGGCAGGGACGGGAAGTGGAAAGAGCAAGCACGGGCTGAGCACTGACTGGATACCCAGGACTGTGCTGGGCACTCTGCTCACAGCCTCTTTAACTTAACTTCCTCTTCCCAACAGCCCATTTTATAGATGGGAAAGCTGAGGCTAATGCAGGCTCTGCCTGGCAACACAGCCACTTTGCCCGTGAACTGATTTGTACCCAGAGTCTACGTACGCACATGCACGTGCACTTGCCAACACGTGCACGAGTGAGCAAGGTGAGAGCCATCCCGGACTGGGAGTCAGGTGACCTGGATTCTAGTCCCAACTCAGCCACCAACTCAGGAAGCCTGAGACTCTCCAAGGCCCCTTGCAGCGCTGGCATTTGAGGATCCATGTGTGCCCTCCTGAGAAAGCCTGGCTCCTCCTTGCCTCCCACGGGATGTGTGCCCGCTCACCCCCTGAAGCAGCCTCACTCACCCTGGGCACCCAGGAGCAGCCAGAAAAGTCTTAGCCACCCTAGTGCCTTCTGCCCTCCCCCCCGCCTTATCCCTTTCACCCACATCCCTGCAAGAAGCACCAGGGTGGGGTTGGACTTCCTGGGGGGCTGCAGAGCCCAGGGGCCAGGGGCTCACTTGGGACTTAGTGCTGGCTCCACGCCTCACCTGCCGCGTCTCCTGGGGCCAATGACTCAACCTCCCTGAGCTCGAGTCTTGCCTCCCGGGGGCCCACTAACAGAATCTGCCTCCCAGGGATGCTGTGAGAACGGCAATAATGAAGTGCCCGGCTCAAGGTAAGTGCTCATTACACTATGGTTACGGAGGTTAATATTCATTACTTCCTGGGAGCGGGGGTCTTTGAGGCTGCCGTTTATGATGAAGGTTGTGTGCTGCTCAAAGGCACAACCTGAGGGGCCCTGGAGGGCAGAAATCCCACCCAGGTGCCCCTCACCCCAGCTGTGAGTCCAAAGGACGGGAGCACTCTGCAGGGCACACGAAGGCTCCCTGAGCTCTCCCAGTGCCCTCTAGGCCCCGGGGCCCTGCCAGCAGGAGAGGGGTCCCCGTGCGTGATGGGATGGAGCAGCGTCACACCTCGGCACCCGGAGGCGTGTCCTGCACCGAAGGGGCACGGGGAGCGGGCACTCACCCAGCAGCTGGACGCCCCGCGTGAGGCCGTAGACGTCCACCAGGGCCCAGAGCGGGTCGGCCGTGCGGACCCCGTTGAAGAAGAGCATGGCAGCTGAGTCGTTGATGCGGTAGAACACGCGGCCCTTCTTGTCCACCCAGAAAGCGATGATGTTGCCCTCGTTGGCAAACTCCTCGGGCAGCGCCTTGGCCCAGAAGCCGCTCTGGGACACCAGGTCGGGGCAGGCGTACTTGGGCAGCGAGTCAGGGTGGATGCGGGACGGGTCCTTGCTTGTGAAGCCCAGGCGCAACGCCCCGCTCCAGCAGCACTGCTTCTTGGTGATCTGGGCGGAGGAGATGGCCTCAGACAGCACCCCGGCCCGCCGGCCTCCCGGCCACTGCCAAGGGCCCCAGGGGAGGGAGTGTGCCCCTGTTGGCAGACCCCTACGGGGAGCCACACCGCCCAGCTGTCCTCCTTCCCCTCCTCTAGGAGCCTTCCCACTGTCCAGTGACAGCTTGTGGCCCCCATGGCCACTCCCATCCCCGGGTCCTTCTTTGTCACACGGGGAAGGTTGAGAAAGGAGGAGGAAGAGGGAAGAGCATGAGGAGGGATGAGGAAGAGCAGAAGGGACGGCCCGGAGGCAAGAGAAGGGCAGGGTGTCGTGGCCGGGACAGAAGACAGTGCTGAGAGGGAAGGGTCGAGGTCCAGGGAGGCACAGAGGGCAGGGAGTGGGAGGGCCCACCTTCAGTCTGACTTGCTCATAGATGAGGACCGGGCGGTTACTGAAGGTGATGGCATTGCAGAAACTGGCCTGCCTCTTGACGGCCTTGTGGCTGAGGTCCATGAGGATCTGGGAGCCCTTGGTGTGTGGGTGGAAGAGCAGTGGCGTGGCCGGGAGCCCCCCGCCGGGCGGCACCGGAGGGCAGTGTTTCTGCTTGTGGTGGCATCGGTGAGACGGGACAGGGAAGGGGCCCCCGATGGAGTCTGCAAAGGAACAGGCCGCAACGTCAGAGCGGGTGGCAGAGGCCCCCGGAGGGGCAGAGGGCTGGGCATAGCAGGAGCTGCCCGCCGCCCAGGATGTCCACCGTCACTGCAACTCATCCGCTGCCACCTTAGGCCACCTGCTGCCATCTCTTGCTATGTCCCACTTCGCCATCTACCACCATTGAGTATCTTTCACCACCTTCCCTGGTCCTTCACCCGTCACCTCCCACCCACCATCTTCTGGATTCTAGTCCATCTCCTGCTACTCACTAGTATTTACCACCATCTGTCTTCCACAGGATGGTGGGCCTGTGCTACCCTTGTGATCAATCAGCATTTACTACCAACACCCACCCCCGCACACTGCCACTCACTACCACCGTCACTTATTTTATTCAGCAAATATTCATTATCTACCGACTGAGTGCCGAGCCCTGTCCTAGGCACTGGACATCCAGGCACGAAACAAACACGGATCCTGTTCTCAAGAAGACACCAGTCCAGGAGAGGAAATATGACACAGACAGGAATCACAATAAAAATGGCAGACAGTGATAAGTGATTAAGGATTGGGGGGCAGGTCACTTCTCAGGAAAGCTTCCTGGAGGAGGGGAGGAGGAAGAGAGGGCATGGGGGCTGGGCTGACAAGGCTGAGCCGCAGTGAACACGTGACCGCGGAGCTGCCCTGGGAGACCAGCAAGGTGGGTGCGGCAGCCTCCGCGGCAGCAGCCCCAGGACCACGCCCGCCACTTCCCTCCTTCGGGGCGGCTTCCCTCCACCCTGGGCCGCCTTCCTGCTTTATACCACCCCCAAGCCCACAACATCTTGCACACAGGTAGGCCTCTGCACCCAGGCTTCCTAATGGAACCCGGATCTGCCTCAAGAGCCTCTGGCCAGGGAGGCACGCTGCTTTCTCCTACACACAGTTCTACCTCACCCCACAATGGGATCGAGTACAGGACAGGGCTTGGTCCAGGAGAAGGCACGTTACAAGCACGTAAGGGTGGTGTCCAGGAGACGGGGCAGAGAGAGGAAGCGACATGGACGAGGTATCGCGTGGCCTGGGTCTGTCACTGACTGGCTGTGTGACCTTAGGGAAGTCACTTCCCTGCTCCGGCATAGGCGGCCTCTACCCTGTGGCTCTAAGACGTGTGTCAGCAGCGCTGGGAGTGTTAATGCAGTCCTGGCAGTTGGGGGCAAGGAAGTGGGGGATGTTCATTTCTTCTCCAAGATCTGTGTCCCATCCATCAGGAAGGGCAGCCCCTGCCCATGCCATCAACTTGAGGAGAGAGACACAAGGAGGATGGGGAAGATGGGGTTGGGGAAGTAGGAAACCACAGAATGTGACAGAGGCCTTCTGGGATGTTTCAGAGTTGGGTTCCTCCATGGCAGTGATTTAATAATGCAGAAAGCTCAGTCCGCATTGGCCTGTCCCCGATGCCTTCTGCTCCCTAAAGGGGAGGAAGGGTTTCCAGGAAGGAGAGGAAGACTGGGAGGAAAGGGCGATGGAGAGAGGAATGTCCGGAGCTAGGAAGACGCAGCCTTCAGTCCAGGCCATGTTTGCATCACTTTGCATCACTTTGCATCTTTGCTTCCTTCTTCCCAGAGGGCCCAGACCCGAGTGTCCACAGTCCGTGGCTGGTCAGACATCCTGTGTGTGGGAGGTAGGGCTGGAACAAAGAGGAGTTCCCCTTGTTTTCACTAAGGAGAAAAGACTAGAATCACAGAACAGTGCTCAAGGCCTTTGAAGACCACTATGCAATAAACGCGAGAATTGCCCAGAGGAGACCCAGTCAGTCTGAGAAGGCTACCTGGAAGAGGCTGAGTGGGCCCTGGATAGCGCAGAGCAGGGGAGGTCATTCCAGGGAAGGAGACCCTTGGGGTGAAGGGTACAGCGTGGCTACAGGTGACCTACAGGTACCCTGCCTGGGAGAGGTACACATTGGGATCAGGCCAGCTTCAGACACAGCTTGACTCTCAGTTTCAAAAACCATAATAAATGGATTAGAGATTGTGGTAGGTCTATACAGTGGAATACTACTCAGTGGTAAGCAAGGAATGAACTACTGATACGAGCAGGAACATGAATTTCAAAATAATTATGCTGAGTGAAATAAGCCGGTTCTTAAAGATAAGCAAACACAATCCACGGAGTAACCACAGGGCCTCTGTTCCTTTCAGCCACTGCCCCCTGCCCTGCCCACACCCTGTCCCATTTGTCCCAATTTAAGAAATGCACACTAAGCTCTAGTGATAACAAGCAGATTGGAGGCTACCTGGGAAGGGTAGGGGGGAGGGGGAGAGATTATCAAGGGGCATGAGGGAGTGTTTGGGATGACGGATATGTTCACCATCTGGCTTATAGTGATGGTTTCGTGGGTGTATACGTATGTAAAAACCCACCCAAGTATACACTCTAAACACATGTGGTTAAACATATATCAATATAACTCAATAAAGCAGTTTTTTAAACATGCTGAGCCCAGCAGCTTAGAGCCTCTCCCATGGGACTCTTTCCCAGCCTCTGCTCAGAATCCAGGGACCAACTGCAGGACCTCAGCTTCCTTTAAAACACTTCCTCTAGGGGCGCCTGGGTGGCGCAGTCAGTTAAGCGTCCGACTTCAGCCAGGTCACGATCTCGCGGTCCGTGAGTTCGAGCCCCGCGTCAGGCTCTGGGCTGATGGCTCAGAGCCTGGAGCCTGTTTCCGATTCTGTGTCTCCCTCTCTCTCTGCCCCTCCCCCGTTCATGCTCTGTCTCTCTCTGTCCCAAAAATAAATAAAAACGTTGAAAAGAAAAAAAAAAAATTAAAAAAAAAAAACAAAAAAAACAACACTTCCTCTCCTTCCCACCATCCTGGGTGGGGTCCTACCGTCCTGCATAAAGAGCTAGAAAATACTAGCTCTGGGCAAATATGGTGGAGACACCCAGGGACCAGAGACCTAGGCCCTGGGAGGACCATTCCCCGGGGCCTCCCTTCCACAGGCAGAATTTTGGGTGGAGAAGGGTAGCACAGGCCCACCATCCTGGCTGACAGCAGAAAGATGCAGAAGTAAGGATAAGGAAACCCTGGAGCCCGGGGACACAATGTACACCCAGACATGTGGCCTCAGAAAGGCACATTCATGGGCACACACATACACCTGTGAGCACATGAAGGTAATCCAGACCCTACGAGACTTATCCCTTCCCTTATCCCTTAGACCAGGAATCCCACATTAACACATGTACCGTGCACACACACACATTCATGTACACAGAGATGTACAAAACAGTACACATAAATCATACACCCAGCGCCCATGGGCCATATGCATCTAATAATAACAGCAGCCAAGTGCTGATAGGTGCCAGGCTCTGAACGGGGAGTTTCACCTACACTTACTGGTTTCATCCTCACAGCAAATTTAACAGGGATGGAGGGACATTACTAGCCCATGTTACTGATGAAGAATCTAAAGCCTCAGAGACATTGAGCAGCTTACCCAAGGTCACACAGCTGGCAGAAAGAGGCTCTAGCCGTCAAATGCGGGCAATGCACCAGCAAGGCGTGAGTCTTAGCCATGAAGCATTAAATCGGCCAAGAAAGCATGGGTTTGGTGTGCTGGACACATTTTTTTTTTTAATGCACATTAAAATATGCTCACAACTGGGGCACCTGGGTGGCTCAGTCAGTTAAGCATACGACTCTTGATTTCGGCTCAGGTCTTGATCTTGGGTTCGTGAGTTTGAACCTTGTATTAAGCTCTGTGCTGACAGTGCGGAACCTGCTTGGGATTCTCTCTCCCTTTCTCCCTGCCCCTTCCCCGCTCACTCACTCTCTCTCTCTCTCTCAAAAATAAACTTAAAAAATAAAATAAAATAAAATAAGCTCACAATCTGGTAAAATATGGAAAAAACTGTTCATCCATGTACCATGTAAAATCATTTCAAGTAGTACACTGAGGGGATACCTGGCATTCTATTACGTTGTTTTCATGATACACATGTATATGCCACCAAAACAGAAATGCAAACCACGTTTCATACATTGCCCTCACACATGGCTGGATGTAAAATGTGGTGCAGGAACACAGCGAATCCCACTCTGCAAGAACAGTGAATGATAACGGTATGACAAAGAGAAGCCTCAAAACCGTGCTGACAAAAGCCAGCCTCCAAGGCTGCACAGGTGCTCATTCCATTTGTAGAATGCTCTGGAACAGGCAAAACTATGAGGCTAGAGAGACCAGTAGGTACTGGAGTTTGGGCAAGAGGAAGACACAGGGGCACAAAGGGAGTTTTCGTGGTGATGGAAATGTTCTAGCTTAACTGTGGCAGTGCTCACACAACTTACACATTTGTCAAAACTCCCCAAAGTATGCACTTAAAGAGAATGACTGCTATTGTCTATAAAGAATACCTCAAAAGCAACACTAACTACAACAACTAACAAATCAGGTCTTCACTGAGATGGAGGAAAGGGAGGCTGCAATCTTTGACCGCCACAGCCCCCATCACCCCACCGCAGGCAGTGCCTAGGATTGGGACCATGAAACAGGAAACCCGAAAGCCTGCTCGGGCCGGCCGCTCTCAGCCGCTCTCAAGTGGGTATGAGGGGAGCATTTTGGCAGCTGCAAAGCACCTTCACTGATTCCTGGACATGCAAAATCCTGTGCCTGCCTCCTCCTGCCCACAGTGTAGCTTCCGGGGCTGTCCTCTGCCCCTTCTCTCTGCACTCAGCTCTGAGTAATCAAAGCCACCGTGCCACCTCTGTGGAGATGATGTGAAAACCCTCTCTGGCCTGCTGGGTATCTCCAAGTGACCACGGTCACCTGCCACCTGGCAGACCCCAGCTGAACTCCTGACCCTACCCCACCAGCCCTCCATGCTCCCAGGCCCCAGTGGAGTCTTTGAGCATCGCACATCCGACCTGCTGATCCCACCTGAGAAAGAAGCATCCCTGGGCTCCGCCCATTCCTGTCCTCCCTGCCACCAGGGCCTTAGTGGGGCCTCATCACTC